CACGTGGTACGCGTTGCGGCCGCAGCGACGGCAGAGGATGTGGGTGCGCCCATGGCGCTGGCCCATCGACGTGGTACCCTTCGTCATCTTTGCGCCTGTGCAACTATCAGTGTGTGCGTGAAAGATAGAGAAAGGAAAGGAGGGAGGTGAGAAAGAGTGAATGAGGATAGTTGGAAAAATATGCACTTCTCTGGCACGCAGCCTGACAATATCAATGACGGCGAAGAGAAAGAAAGAAAGAAAGAGAGAGAGAGAGAGAGAGCCAGGCTGTTTTCCCTCCCCTAACGGAGACAAACCCAGCGCTGAGAGAGCACAGTCAGTGCCGCATTCTCATCCTCCCCTTGCTTCGGCTGCTCTTGTTGTTGCTGTTGCTTGCTCGCCTCCACCACCTCCTCTTCAGCATCCTCCTCGGTGATGGGGATGTGCCACGTGAGTGGCCTCAGCTCCTGTATGCAACGCGCGTACGGTGCCGGCAACTCCCAGTGCAGAAGCGTGCGGTTGTCCTCACGTGAGCACTTGAACGCGATGCGGTGCCGATCCCGCCAACGAGCGAAGAAGCGGGGGCTCAGCAGCCTGAAGTGGTGATCCCGCATCATGTCGTTTGTCAGCACCCACACCGTCTTCTCAACTGTGCCAGCAGCAGCGTCCGTCGGCGTGGTGAGCTCCAGCGCCGCGTAGAGCCAGCAGAGGTCGTCATTGAGGCCGCTCGGCGTGCAATAGAGAAGACCGTCGCGGCGCCACTGAGCCGCCACCGCGGCGTTGTCTGTCGTTATGTTCCTCGCCTCACAGTGCCGCTCGTGCAAAATGACAAGCGGCCGCATGCCGCGGCGCCGTGCCTCTTGCACCGCGAGATCGATGAGGTGGAAGTTCACTGTGACGTCCACAGAGCGGTGCTTCGACCACGCAACGTCCTTCGCCGTGATGCTCTCTGCCCGCCTACCGCGTTGCAGCAGCAGCGCCCGCTTCGCATCCTCATACCAGCTGCTCAGGCCGTAGTATCCGAGGTTGGCGCCGTCAATCAAGACGTCGATGCGGGAGCCGTGCGTGGCGACAAACCGCCTCCACGCCTCAAAGGCGGTACGTAGACGCGTGATGTTGTTGTTGTCACTCTTGCCACGCCGCGGCATCATTGCCACCTCTATCACGTCGTGCAGGAGCCGCGTCTTCTGCGCAGTGGTAAAGCGGTGGCCTCTCAGCGCGTCGCCGCAGCACGGGCAGGTCCCCGCACTGTCGCGTGGGAGACATACCTCCGTGACACACAGCCCCGTCCCTCCTACTGCTGCTGCTGCTGCCGCCGCCCATGGACGCAGCACTTCCCTCACCATCGTGTGCGGCACGCCCATGACGTGCTCCTGCATCTCGCGCAGCATGAAGTGCAGCGTCGACACCGGCTCACCCACCGCCACGCAGAGGCGCCCGAGGCTGATATAGTCGGCCGCGCGCAACTCGATGCCGTGCCGCAGCGCCTCCTCGTACACGGCAAAGGCCATACGGCGATCCCCACGCTGGCAGCAGAAAGCCAGAAACACCGAGGCGCTTCGCAGGCGCAGAAACCTCGCGGAGGCCATGAAGGAGAACATCTGTATTGCTGCAGCAGCATCACCGACGGCGCACTGCAGGCGAAGAATCACCGCGAGCACACTCTCGTCGGTCCACGCCGGCACCAGCTGCGAGGCTTGCACTTGGCGCACGAGCTCGATGCCCATGGTCTCATTGTGTGTCTGCTCACATAAGAAGAGGGCACTCGCGAAAGCCTTCATTGAGAAGACGGACTTTTCCAGGCCAGCGCGAAGCTCGCGCGCCACCTGCTCCACATCACCCTTGCCGACGAGCTGCCCCACCCTGCGCTGCAGCTCCTCCGCCGGTGTGCAGCTCTTCCACCGCGGCTGGCAAGAGCTCAGCGGCTGAACAGTGGCGAACCACGAGAGCGCAACGACAGTCAGCCCACGCCTCATCCACGCATATCACGCCCAGATCACCCGCCCTCTTTCCCCCTTGGTGTCTCCAACAGTGAAAGACGTCTGTGCATGGGTGTGTTTGTATGTATGTATGTATGTATGTGTGTGTATGTGTGTGTGTGTGTGCCCAGACGCAGACGATCATGTGGGAAGATGGGAAAAAGAGATCAACGCACTGAGCACATCCCACTCACACCAGATGCCGCAACGCAGCGCGAGACGCAGCCAACACAGAAATAACAACAACAACAACGGAAAAACAATTCTACAAAAATGGAGGAAAGAGACGAAGTCTAAGTGACTGATAAACGACATATCTCAACTAAAGAAGCTTCGCGCCCTCCTCATCGTACACAAAACGACGCACTGCGCCAGCCAGAGAGCCAAAAAGAAGAGGAACATTGCCCAGATGACGTACCGAAACCAGAGTGTATTTCTTTGAAGGAGTAGGAAAAAGTCACAATCCCCTTGCGTGCAAACCTGTTGGCAAATGAGCAACGCAATCTGTAAGGTCGCAAGTGGGAGCATGGACCACATGATGCGAAACACACTTTCCTGGCTCAGCAGCAGGAGGGCGAACACGACTAACAGAAGCAGCAAGGAGGCACCCGCCAACCCAATTGTTTCCAATATCCTCACCCCGCACTCCGAGATGTTTACCACCCCCACCACCAGGAGGAAGGCGTTTAACTCAAATACAAACAAGCAAGAGGCGTAGACCATCCGTGCGAAGGCGGAGTACCGCTCAATTTTTCTTTCGCGGCGGAAACCAAAGCACGCAAACCCATAAGAATTGATAGAGTCATACGTCGCAAGCATCCGGAGCAGGCGCAGCATTGCAAGAACACAGGTGACGATGGTTGCGCCAACAAGAAGCTTGTACGAATAGTCGCCCCCAATCTCTGGGGGAACATACGTCTTATCTGCGATCAAGTATGTCTGGTAAATGAACTGCGGCATTGCCACACAAAGAGCGAAGCACAGGCTTGACAAGACCTGAGCGGCCATGATATCGTGCAGAACTGCGACGTACTTCTCGCGGCGGTTCGCAAAATAGTACCGCATGAACGTGATGAAGCTGATGAAATTGTACAACGGCACCACTGGCACCACGTGTAGATGCGGGGAAGGGAACGAGCAGAACATCTTGCCGTACACAGTATCCCGCTCCTTCGCACGCATCAAAAAGATCATGCCAATAAGATGTGCCGCGTACCCAGCGCCGTACATGATGGCCGTGTAGTAACCGTATGACTGGTAGATTGTCTCCTCGCCATACTTCATCCAGTGCGCCAGAACGAGTGCGATGACAACAATACAAAGCAACTCCACGAGAATACTAGCGACCATAAAGAAGATGTCAAGATACCACATAGGCTGCACGTAGTTTAGCCGAATGGAATTCAGACGCCCCGGTGGGAGGACGTGGGGGTACTCGCACAGAAGCTTTACGAACTCAAATCCACTCTCCTTCACAACTGTACACTGCTCGGAATCGAGGCGAATGAAGTGTAGCTTGAATAGAGAGGGCAGGTACTCGTACACACTCAGCGGGACACACGGGGATTCAGCGGGAATGATGCTGTCCACACAACGCTGCACCTCCACTTGCACCGCCTCGTTGTCGAGGTCGAGACGCTGAGAATCGACTATCATGCGCACCAGGTATGGGTTGAGACGCGCCTCATTCAGCTCCTCAACCGTCACAGGGTTCCCCGCGGAGCGGCTCGACAGGGCGGCAGCGACAAGGTGGCCGAAGCACTCATTAGGATTCTTACGATACGCGCGCAGGGTGGAGGAGAGATCAATCTCAATGCGCAGCGGCTCTACATCCTCCTCCTCCTCCGCATCTTCCTCATCGTTGTCCAGATCCTCTAAGCTCGGGTACACAATATGAGCGGGGCGCATATGACATTGGGACGTGTCGTCCATGTGCTCTACCTGCAGCGCAAGCGCGTTTTTCTCCGTGTCAGCTGTGCTGTTGCCCTTTCTGTTCGGCTCCAGCAGCCGCTCCAATAGGCTGCTCACGCTACCTGCCGCGAGCTGCAGCGCTCGTGCTGCGCCATTCCGCACCCTCACGTTCCACATCTCAGGATGCTGTCGGTCCTCCCCCTGCGCATAGACCAATGCCTCGTCGCTGCTGGGGTTTGGCGAGCCGAACGGGGCGTTGGGGGGCGCGGCCAGTGTCTCCAACGACAGTGCGGTGTGCAGCGACACGCTCCGGGTGGTGCGCGACGCCAGCCCATTGCTGAAGCTGTGCGGCGACCCGTCATCGAGGTACAGCGGCTGCACCGACACATTCGAGGAGCTATGATGCGACAATACATCGGACAGCCTCACACTCATGCCGGAGTTTTCTATTCTCTCTTTTCACCCCACCCCGTTGTTCCTTCTTTGTTTTGTTTTTCTTCTGCGTGTAAAGCCGTTTCGCTTCTTTGTTTTTTGTTTCTTTTTTGTTGTCTGCCTCCTCCCTCCCTCCCTCTCTTCCGCCCCCACTGTGCCCACGCTGTGTGTGTTTGTGTGTGCACCGCGGACTCGGAGACGGCGCCCCAGTCGCTCTGAGGTGAGACGACACACCGGCGGCCGACGCCAATCTTTTGCAGTCCCCCAACAGCAGTCAGAGGCCTGATGGATCGGGGGCAGGCGAACCGCAGCGAAAGGAGACAGAACAAAGCAAAACACACGCACACAAAAGAAAAAGATCAAGAAAAAATAAAAAGGAGCAACGTGACAGGCGATGGTAGAGCAGATGCGGAGGCCACACCGCGCGGGGCGCCCGCAGCAGAGCAGACACGCCACGACACGGCCAGCACGGGAATAACAAAACCCCTCCTCTTTGTTGCTGCTGGGGGGCAGAGCATACAGCGTCCTCCTGTAGTGGATCGCACCCCCCTCCTAGACCAGAGGAAGATGGTCTACTCAACAAACAGTGAGCCTCTGCCCTATTTACACGCTCCATCCTTGCCGTTTTTCATCATAATATGCTGGTATTGTTTTCTTTTTTTTTTTGCTTTTTTTTTCGTCTTTTCTTCGCTGTCCCAGCCTCACTTGATTCGAGTTACTTTTGTATATCATTTGTTGTTGTTGTTGTTGTTGATTACTTCGGACACTCTGCTACTTTGCAAACAAGGATGACAACGACGCCTCGTGGTGGAGGCTGTAGATCGCCTGCACAAGAAGCGGCGCTATCGTGAGAACAGTCAGCTTGCTGCACCTCTGGGAGTTGACGTGCTGGGCGATGGAGTCGGACACAACGAGCTCACTCAGCGCATCGCACTTCGATATGCGCTCGCACGCCGGGTCGGTCAGGATGCCGTGGCTCGCGCACGCCACCAGCCTCACAGCGCCCATCTCCTTCAGCAGGTCGCATGCCTTGCAGAGCGTGCCAGCGGTGTCAACCATGTCGTCCACGATGATGCAGGTGTATCCCTCGACGTTGCCAACGGTCTGCATGGAGTCCACCCTGCCCGCCGCCACGCGCCGCTTCAGAATTGTCACGATGTGGCTCGCGCCGATACGGTCGGCGAGAACGTTGGCGCGCTCCACACCGCCGGCGTCTGGCGACACCACAACCGTCTTGCTCCTATCAAACCATGGCTGCCGCATGATATACGCGGCAAGCTCGGGGAACATGAGGAGGTTGTCGACTGGCATATTGCGGAAGAAGCCCTGCAACTGGCCACAGTGCAGATCGAGGGTTACCACGCGATCAACACCCATGCACTGGATTAGCTGTGCCACCGCCGATGCGGAAATGGGCACGCGCGGCTCCGTCTTTCTGTCCTGCCGGCTATAGGCAAAATATGGGATAATGGCGGTGATGCGCCTGGCTGAGGATAGCTTCAATGTATGTACCAGCAGCAACAGCTCCATCATGGCAGTGTTGAGATCCGTCTGCTCATTACCGGCTGTGGGTTGGATGATAAAACAGTCGTCTCCACGAACGNGCTCCATCATGGCAGTGTTGAGATCCGTCTGCTCATTACCGGCTGTGGGTTGGATGATAAAACAGTCGTCTCCACGAACGTCATCCAGCACCTTGATGTTCAGCTCGCCATTCGCGAAGCGCTTGATCTCCGTGCGGCACAATGGGATGTTCAGGTATTTCGACACACTCTCAGACAAGGCAGCGTTGGCCGTCCCAGAGATGATGCGGATGCGGTAGGAGGTTTCCACTTTTGGCTTGCTGTGTTCCCGGTAGAAGAATGTCTCACCCGCCGCCACTTTTTGTCCCTTGGGTGGCGTGCAATCTTTTGAGCTTACTTGCATTGGTGAAGCGTCAGTAGCGGGGTGGCCCTACTGCACGTGGTCTCACTTCTTTTTCTGAAGATCTCTCTCCGGGTGTCTATGTGCACGTGCACAGCACCACAGGCAACAGTGAAGGGGGAGGCGCAAGAGACATGTACACGGTGGCCAAAAAAACAAGCAACCAGAAATTGCACAAACGAAACTGGAACAACAGCACAAAAAAATTTCATGTCTCAAAGGAGTGGAACAAAACCTACAGTACCGTCACCTGTGGCGGGTTGGGGGGGG